CAAAATGATTGATGGAAGCACTGTGCTATGAGATCATAGAATTGGTGAAGGATTATATGGAAAATCATTGACATGACAACTAGCACATAGTAAGTGTCTTTGTTTTCTCATCTATAAAATAAGTATCATGAAGATTCTACCTCAGAGTCTGTAAAGGATTAAATGAGAGAATCTAAGGTAAGTACACACAAAAATACTGAATTCTGCCCACCCATCATCTCTCCTCTCCATCCATCCCCAAACATTGAGTCAGGAGCTCAGGGCTGTAGAGTATCAAAGTTTGACAGCTCCAATGGGAAAAGATAGTGGCCCCGCTGTTCCCCCAAAACACACAGTAGTTGGGGATGCAGCTAGTGTTGCACTATCTGTCTATCCCCAAGGGCTAGGAATCTCTATAGAGAGTGTTGGTACATTGTTCACCTTGTATCCCAACATCCAGCCTGCCTATCATTCATGAAACAGTTAAGATGATGCGCAAATTAGCCATATCACTCCTGACATTTAGTGTTCACTTGATTCTATAAGTTACAGAGTGTAAAAGAACATGCTACTTAATAAGATGTCGTTAGCTATCTATGATTCCAATAAGTAAAACCAATCAGATAACGGAAATTTGCCAGGTCAGTAAGAAAATGTTTTCCCAGAACAAATGACATCTATTTTTAAGTGAATATACTGCACTTATTTCAAAGACTTGAAAAGATTATAGCCTCAAATTTATACAGGTATCACAACAATCACTTAAAAATTCTACTTTTAAAAAACAAATGTTATACACTTTGGGAAAAAAAATCAGCTCATGTTGCAATATCAAAAATCCCAAAAAAGAGCAGCTCATGTTGCAATATCAAAATATAGGCTCCATTTACTGAGGGTCTTTTATGTGACAAGATCCTCACTATGACATTGTAAATAAAAGAAATAATGCAGAGGACTTAAGGGAAGTGTGTATAGTCATACAGTTGAATAGTATATTGTCACTACATTTGTAAATTGTTTGCTGTATTTGTTCAATTAAATATTAATTATTAAATTCAGAATCATAATCTCAATGATTTGCAAAGCCATGCTGGGTAAATGTTTTAACATCTGGAATGGTTTCATAAAATAAAAATAAGGGATGCATCAAATGAGCTTTGTATCTTCCCAAAAGGTAGTTCAATGAAAGTTTCCCTTTGCCAAAGTATAGGTGTGTAAGATTAAAGATTGAAGAGTACAGAATCACTCCTTGGCTTAAACAAACAAACAAACAAACAAACAAAAAAAAAAAAAATAGTGAGAGACATTGGAAATGGCATTCATTTCCAGGGATTAATTCCACATAAAGACTATAAGGGGTAAGGTTGCCCTTCAGCAACTCCAGAGTCCAAAGATGTAGGGTATCCAGATGTCTGAGCACCAAACACAAAGTCCAAGTGGAGGGTGAAGACAAGGAGCCATTCTGCAGGGACGTATGTCATGGGCAACAAGAGTTTCATCCAACGGTTGTTAAGTCTTACATCCACTGACCAGACAATGAGGAGGAGACATGCTAATATAGGAGGCTCACTTTTGGTACCTGCTGAGCAAAAAGGTTCATTTGAGCAATGGGAACTTTAAAGCAGTTGGCAAACTTATCTGTAAATACACTACCCAACTCTGCTGATGTAGCCTGATAGCAGCCATAGATGTGATGTAAAGGAATGAAAGTGGCCATGTGCCAGTAAAACTTTATTTAAAGAGCAGGCAGGAGGGCTGCTGTTTTCTATCCCCTGTGCTGATAGGTCAGGTTCTGATGTTCAGGAATACAGAAGTGCAATGGAGCAAAAAGAAGCAATTTGCAGTATCCTGGGTTTGGGTCAAAAGGTACGAAACTATTCCAGAAATGGAGGGTGGTCTTTCCCAGAGAGAGTTCCATACAATGTCATTTTGGTTCCCATAGTAACTTAAAGGGAAGCTTTCACAATGTCCAGAGTCCCTGATGTACTATAAATGAACGAATAGGATGTCTTCAAATTCCTTATTGCAGGAAACCATTCAAGTGGCACCAACTTTGACAACAAAATGGAACACTGATCTTCAAAAGGAAAAACGATGGCATCTACATCAAAAAATTGATGAGAACCTCAGAGAAGCTTCTGCTGGCAGCTCTCCCCATTGTTGCCAGCCGAAAGCCTGGCTGATGTCAGTGCCTTATCCGCCAGCAGCACTGGTCATCAAATGGTGCTAAAGTTTGCTGCTCCCACTGGGTCCAGTCCTGTTGCTGGTCACTTCACTCCTGGAACCTTCACTAACCAGATCCAGACAGCTTGCAGGTAACCAAGACTTTTGGTGGCTATTGACTACAGGACTGCCCACGAGCTTCTCCCAGCGAGCCTGCCTACCACTGCTTTATGCCATACAGACTCTCCTCTGCTAGTGCTGGGTCTCTGGCGGCGAAGGCTGGCGCAGGGCACTCCACACACGCATGGCACCCTGTCCTGTCACACCAATCCTATCGGGGGTCATGCCTGGTCTCTACTGCTACAGAGATCCTGAAGAGCTGGACAAAGAAGAACAGGCTGCTGCTAAGAAGGGCAGCCAGGGAGGCAGGAGAGTGAACTGACTGCTCCAGGCGGAGAGTTTACTGCTACTTCCCTGAGGTGCAGGCTGGTCTGAGGGCATGCAGGTGCCCTCTGGGCTACCCAGCAGCTCCCTGCTGAAGACCAGAGCTCAGCCTGCCATTGAGGCCTGGGCTGCATCTCCCTTCTAAATTCAGGCTTTTTGGATTTCTCACTCTCAGTTCTATTTTATTTGCTTCAGAATCTTTAATCATTATTCACAATGATCATATTTGTCAGTTGTCCCATGTCTAGTTCCTCCACTAGGAACTATGGGACCCTGGAACTTGCCTGCCTCATATAAAGATTCCCCCTGAGCACTGACACTGTATCTGGAACCCCACTGGTACTCAATCACTATCCAAGGAACATAGATAACAACCCTGGTTAGGGCAGTCAAGAGGTGGCTGGGTCCTACTGGGTAATTTCCACGCATTTCCTCCAATCCCACAAAATCCTGACATCATCTAATCCTTTGTCTTGTCTTTACCAACAGGGAAAGTGAGGTACAGCAACGTTATGTGATTCTCCTGAGACCACAGAATTCTGACAATATCACATTTTCAAGGAACAATTTAAGTCTAAGGTGAAGAAGGTTCATCAACTACTCTACCAGCTCCACCACACCCTCCATCATGTCCATCTGCTATCTCTGTCACTAAAGCAGTAAATGGATAATTAAATGTACACAATAATTTTGGTATTTCTGTGTACATAAGAAAATCCTACATGTTGATGACTCATTGAACTCCAAATCTAACCCAAATCACAGTTATTAGCGAATAGCTAAAAGCAGAAAATTATTTGTATGGGAAAGATCTTAAGAAGATACTTTTATCTATAAAAACTTGGAGATTGTTCTAATAGCTATACTTGCAGATCACTCAAGACTGGAACTCACTGTAAAGCATCCCATTTTCTGAGAAATTCTGGAACTGTGGTCCAGTTTTCCAGGAAGAGGGGCTACATGCTGCCAGGTCTGGCTGCTGGATTTTTACAATAGGACAGAGTCTGTGAAAGTCAGAGTAGCATGGCTGCACAGGATCTCAAAGTTGACAGTATGGCTGGGACTATCTGCCCACCACCTCCTACCACCTGAAGAAAGCTTTGGGCAACAAAGCCATCGAATCCACAGAGTAAGAAGCTGCCTTTATCATTTCCATATAGACTAGCAGGAAACAGAACATGTTAGTCAGAAGCAACAGGAAATGAAGAGAGCTTCTGTGTTGTCACTCTCCCTACATTATATTTGGCCCTTAAGATCTTTTCTGTAACCAGCTAGAGATGACACTACTAAAGGAACACTCAGAGGTGTGCTGCTGGCAGGTTTTCCTTGTAGGTCCCTGACCCTTACTCTCTTACGAATAACGGTACCAAATAAAGGCAGCAGATGGGGATCAGGGTGCACGCCGGGTCGAGAAAAGCTAAGTGGCTACACGAGCAGTGAACCCATGACTGTGAATGCAACCGGGAGCTTTACTCAAGACAGCGTGTAGACACACCTCTTTGAGAACAAGAAAACAACCATACATGAGCAAAGGGCAGTGTCCTGAGAAGAGCTCATCAGTAAATAGACCCAAGAGTAACCAGCAAACATGATTTTGCAACGGATTTAGCCCTCTTTTCTGGCTTTAAAAGCACGTTGGTTTTTTTCTCTAATTAAATGATTGCAATGAATGATATTCCTAATCTTCAACCTTTCTTCAAAGGTTTGCTTTACTTTAATATCAAAACAATGAAAAAGATGTCTCTCTAAAGCCACGGGTCACTGGCAAGTTCTCATCACCATAGTTAAAAAGAGACTTAATAGATTGAGGAAATAAAACAAGTTCAAGAGGGAAGAGCAAAAACTGGATCAAGAGTAGAGCATATGAAAGGACTTCAAAATTCAGGACTCCTGCTGGAAGGACAGAGGCCACGAGACAGATGGTGCAAGGACCTTAAATGAAGGGTGGATGGGGCTAAACACCCTCAATCTGAGGACAGAGCCCCATCTATAAAGGTCAAGCCACCACTCAGTCAGGAAACCACCTGCTAAAATATGCTTTCTCCCCTATTGCCTTGCTCTGTAAGTGCGTGTAAGCTTGAACATCTCGGCATTAACCATCATTCTAATTTGCCTTCCTGAGTGTTAGAACATAGTGGCCATTTCATTCCGATCATTGCATCCCAGGTATAAGCAGGCAAGTCTATAATACATGAAAATCTTTTAGAAAAGGATGCCACAGTCAAAGGGAACACAAGCAAAGACCTTGCAGGATATTCCAAGTTCTTTTCTACCGTAGGACTTGTCAGTAGTCCTACTTCAGGCATTTCCTTGGTAACTTGCTAGTAACTGAACAGTTCATAGTTATTAATTACAGTTGTGCAATAGCCCTCAACCAACACCATTCAGAATCAGATGCCCATGCTCACCCATACCTGGTAGTACAGATGGTGCAAAAAGGAATCTGGGCCACCAGCTAAAGCCATCGGTTCCTTCTGGTCTTCAAATTACATTTACTGCACCACAGCACCTGCAACAAAGACAGACTGTGAGAAGCCAAGTCAGAGAAAAACTCACTACTGACAACTTATTCAAGGGTGACGTGTGAATGGGTAACCCTGGGACACCACCTGCAGGTTTGGTCAGGCTGTCTGTTCAAGGTACCAGCTTGTTTTCTAATGCAAGGAGTGACACCAACTACAAAACCTTGAGAAGTCACCTACATGATCCCAGGGTCTGTAGGGCAGAAGCACTCAGAAGGTGAGGGTGACATCAACCCCCAGAATTTCACTCCCATCTGCTCATAAATCACTTGATTCTTTTCTCATAACATTTCCTAACACCCTGAAGACTTCATGATACTTTGGTAAATACGGAGTTAACCCAATTCCAAAGAAATACTGAAGGGGTATATGTATGTCCCCCATCTCCACACCCCAGTAACACCTGTATAATGCTGGTCTTCTGGCCAGAGTCAAGACAAACCAAAGTTCTCAGAGGGCACCAACTATGATGTACTGACTTCAATGCTCTTCCTGAAATGCCACAGCTTTATAACTACAACTCTCAAGTACATTCACAGAAATGGCCTTTTGATCTGCACTTTCTCACTCCCACATGAGCTACAGTCATATTAGCTACACTGAAGTGCATATAGGGCTCTTACAATGAGCTCCTAATAAGCAGAAAGCAGAGGTCCTATATTTTCCCTTTTTTAAATCTACTGAGGCACAAAACACATACCTGATGTCCTCAAAGACATCCCCAAGTTTTAAAACTGACTCTGACAAAGTTCCCCCTGCTGATGCAGAGCACCAGGATGGTGGTGGAGAGGTGGCAGGGGACTCAGAGTGCACATCCACACGTGCTATGCCAAAGTACTCATAGACAAGAGACCATCTATGAGGCAAACTTCTTTAAGATACATGTTTCCTTCTCAATCAACAAAAATTAAAGTTTTTCTCCCATAAGGTCAGATGTGTCTACTAAGAGTACTACTTTGGAATAAGGTGGGTAGATTACAAGGGAGAGGAAACAGTAATAATGTCAAAGCCCTCAATATCATTTTTCTCATTTGGAAATCAACAGACATAAAAATATTTCAGGAACTATAGCAACAGCAGCTCACATTCTGTGTCATTATCAATCTCAGAGATGTCATGGCTCTGCTCTGGCTAATTCCAACCCTAAACAATTTATAACTCCTGGCTAGGTGAGGCTTTCTCAGCTCTGCACCTTAGGTTTTGTTCCAGTTCCATCACCATCTACCCTTACTATTGAGCTCAGGGATGATCTTCTCCAGGAAGCCTCCTCAGAGTGTCCCACAAGCACCACGACACCAGCATGATTGAGTTCCTCATACAAGCTGGTCTTATACCTATCCTTCCAAGTGCCAAACTGAATTGTGAATGTTTCTCCTTACTCTCACTTCAACCAAATAAACTGCATTCACAGTGGCTCTCCCTATGCCCTGGGCCCAACCCTGACTTCTAGGAAGTGCCAAAAGGTCTAAGGCACCTGGCTCTGGGGCTTCCACATCCAGATCCCAGAAGGGTAGGTTTCAAAGGAGCTGGTGTCCTTGGCATCATCCCGTTAACAGCGGGGAGAAAACAAACAAGATCCAGAGGGCGACCCCTCCATAGACAGGGGCAAGACTGACACTTTCCACGACAGGGACAGACTGGTATCCATCCTGGTGTCCCAAAACACAGCTGTTCCCCAGACTGAGCTTCAGAGGGACAACTGCAGTGACACTTACACAGAATCAGCCACAATGAGCAGGGAAAAGGAGCTTAGAAACTCAACCCATTTTAATACTCAGGGGAATGGCCAGCTTATTTCTCCAAAGCAGTTTCACTGTGAGGAAAATATGACAAAAGTTTAGAAAGTGGTTTACTTCTCTTAATGGAAAAAAAAAAAAAAAAGACAAACCAGGAGAAAAGGAGAATGGAAGAAACAATACAGGCAAGAAATGGATCAAGACAAAATAAGCACTAAAGGCAGTCAAATCAGAACCAATACAACAGAAAACTGGGCTTCCCTGGTGGTGCAAGGGTTAAGACGCAACCTATGAAGCTATCACACAGCCACTGTAGCATGAGTTCGATCCCCAGCCAGGGAGCAGCACCCACATGGCAAGGCAGACCTCTCCTGACTTGCCTGCTGCTCCCCTCAGCAGTGCATTTTAGTCTATCCACCAGTTCTGTTCCCCACTCTGTCTCTGGTGAATCCTCTCACCCCTTCCCCCTTCCGGTATCCTAGTCCTTGTGTGTGTGTGTGTGTGTGTGTGTGTGTGTGTGAGAGAGAGAGAGAGAGAGAGAGAGAGAGAGAGAGAGAGAGAGAGAGAGAGAGAGAAAGAGAAAGAGAAAGAGAAAGAAAGAGAAAGAGAGGAGAGGAGAGGAGAGACAGGGAGAGAGGGAGAGCGCTAACTCCCTGGGAGAAAAATCCATGGAGAAAATGAGCTAAATATCATAGTGAGACAAAAACCCAGGAGCCAGAATGGAACCAGGATGCAAGAGCAAAGGTCAACTCTGCAGGGAATACCATTTTTCTGACCTGAAAAAGAGCAGAACTTGTCAAGAGGCAGGCAGGTCTCCTCACCTTTCAGACATCTTTAGCAGAGTTGGGATATCCTATATTAGGCATATTCTGTTTTCTTTTAGAACTGAGAAATAAAAAGACTTTCAGAAGCCTCCCAGAAGAAAACTGATTCAGGTAGAGCATAAAATTAGAGAGATTAATTCCACCAAAATAGAAGAAAATCTAGGTAAGTTCCAGTTTGAGTGAAAGTATCTTGCCCCAAAATTCATATTTGAAGTTCTAGCACCCAGAACCTCATAATGTGGCTATATTCAGTGAAAGTTGTAAGATACACATAGGACGACCACGTGAGGGCACAAGGAGAGGAGAGAGGCCTCTAAGGGAACCAGCACCTTGAACAGAATTCTGCTCAGAACTGTGAGAAAAAAAAAAAAAAATGTTGTATAAGCCACTAGGTTTGTGGTGTTTTGTTTGTAGTAGAAAACTACTACAGATCCAAAATACCAAAAATACTCTTGAGTGATCATTATAGTTAAAAGGAACAGATGAGTCCTAAATCTGTAACACTGACAACCAACCAAATATGTTATCTACGTTAAGTGTTTCTCTAAAATCTTTTAAATTATCAGCATAGAAATAAAATAACAACCCAGAGAGGTGACTGGCTAAAAAGAACAAGTGATAAAAAATGGAAGTGCTAATACAGTGGCAGAGAGTGCTCCATGCCTCCACTTACCAGACTCTATACTGACAAAAGCTATGGCTGGTAACTCCCCTCAAGCCTCCCACAAGGGCAACAGACCCTAGGTCTTCCAATCTCTCTGGCCCGAAAGTCAACCTTCTTAAAGTCTCATACTTGTCCATACAAGTATGCTGCCACGTAATTAAACACTGACCTGGGTGTTGCCTGAAGAAATCTTGTAAAAGTGGTTAACATCTGCAGACCTTACTTACTTAAACTAAAGGCAATTTCACTCCACATCCACTCATGGAAGGCTTGAAGAGCAAAGATTAGGTTTTCCTGGAGAAGAAAAGTCTTAGCCTCAGGGCCACAGAAAACTGTTTCAGTTTCCAGTCTGCTGGCTACCCCGTCGATTCAGTCTTGCCAACCTCACCATCACATGAGCCATTGTCTTCAAATAAATATCTTTATACATACACATATAGCTGGTTTCACAGAAGAATGTGGACTACTCTGCCCCAAACCATTTGCAACCACACTATTATGCCTCCCATACCTCCTCCCCCAAAACTATCATGTATCTTCATCACCTCCAATACTCCTTCCACCTTCTACCCCAACTACAGGATCAATTTCCTGGGGATTCTGCTTTTCTCCCTTCACCCATATTCCTGAGGGCTTATGGACGTTCACTGTCCTCCTGTTGCCCCTTCCTGCAGCAGGGCCCCTATGTACCCACACCACTAGTGCCCCAAGCCCCATACCCCCTTCTCCTGTTGTCATTTCCCTCATTCACCTACCACATGCTGCTCCTCCCATGTGCTCTCTGTAACTCTTAGAAGTGTTCAACATAGGTATATAACATTTCAAGCTTAATGTGTCTTAAGAATGATGAAATTATCATTTATTAATTTTTTACCTAAATGTAATTTCTAAAATTATTTCATAAATGAGAGTGCCTCACAACCAGAAAAATGTATATCCCATAATCCCTGTTAAGTAAGTTCCTTTGGGACATAAACTTTGGTCAGATAGTGGAAAAGGACTAGATTAACTCTGGTCTCTAATAAAATATATCAAACCCAAAGATTAAATCATATTTGACAAAGATAGATTATTTTCTCTAAGAACAGAAGCAAGACAAAAATGTACACTTTCACCACTCCTATTCAACATCATTTTGGAAGTTTTAATGAGAACAATTAGTCAAGAAAAGAAAAAGCAGTCAAGTTGAAGAATTAAAAGTATTTATTCACAGATAATATAATCTACAGAAAGACCTACACACAAACACAACCAATTAATAAAGTTAATAAATTCTGCAAAGTTGAAGATAAAATCAGTTGTGTTTCTATATACTACTAATAAAATATCTGAAAAGGGAATTAAGAAAATAGCATCAAGGACAATAAAATAATTAGGAATAATTTTATTCAAAGAAGCAAAAGAATTTTGCACTGAAAACTACAAAATCTTGCTATAAAATATAAAGATATTATAATGAAAAACATCTTATGTTAATGGATTCTAATATTTAATATTTTTTAGGATGTTAACACTTTATAAAGCAATACAGATTCAATGCAACCTCTACCAAAATTCCACAGGCACTTTTTGCAGAAATTGCTAAAACCTTTTTAAAATACATATTGCTTCTCATGGGAATCCAATTAGCAAAAAATAATAATCCTGGAAGGATTGAACGAAGCTGAAACACTCCATTTCCTGACTTCACAACTTACTACAAAGCTATGGTAATAAAGACAGTGTAATATTGACATGAGGACAAACATATTGACTAATAGCAT